GTCCTCCCAATCGAGTAAGTCGGTTTCCAGATTACCTAAATTTAATTCGGTCTGTCCTGGGCTTGTCATAGGTCAGATTGATTCCCCATATCTTTTTATAATGTCATTAATAACAATACCCAGGAATGAATATCATACTGCCCACGGCTCTTGTCGATTCCCTCGTCACGGTCGGTACTCTTTGATTGAGACCGCTCAGTTATTGTTGAGAAGTCGACTATCAAAACGCGAACACTGTTAACTCAACGCAAGACGCAAAAACACATTTGTGTCTCAGGTCAATCATAAAAACCGGAAGCGGAGGCACATTCCCGCCCCTAGTCGGGATACAAAGTCAAGACGACTTAAAGTTTCTAGACCTAGGTCTCCGCTTCCTCTAAGAAACACAGTTTTGTGATTGGTCTCTTGTACTCCCCGTATTGAGTACGCACTGTGACTGCACGGACCATACCGTCTTTTCCAGGATGAGTAGACACAATCCTACCCAAAGGCCATATTCCTCGTGGTTGTTTGGTTGGTGGATGGTGGTAGTTACAATGATCTGCTACGCAAGCTCATGATGTGAGTCTTTTATCTTCGGGTGTCGTGTCGTGTAAGGGAGGGCTTGGGGTTTTGCAACCTTCCACCGACTACTAGAAATCCACCTTCCATTCTCGGATCAGAGATTTGATTCTGCTCCGCTTATGAACCTCCTGACCAAAAACCTCTACTAGCGCTCTCTTCACTGGGTGGCTCTGAGCAGCTCTTAACTCTGTTGCTGTTAGCGATCCCGACTGACGCACTTCTTTCTTTACTCTTGTATTGTTTACAAATCGCATCACGTACGCCAGCACCCGTCTTAGTTTAGCTAGGGACGGATATCTTTTCCATCCCAACACAGGCTCACTTTCGAGGGAAACTCAAAACCATCTTAGCCTTTTCCTTTCTCTCTTGTCTTCTTCTCGTCAACTCGGCTGATTTGTAGAGGAACTCCGGCCCAGCGCTGTAGCGATTATTCACGTTTAGTTCTACAGGGTGGAGTCGCCGGGTGATATCATCTGCAGGATTATCACCTGTCGATACGTATCTCCAACTCACCGCACCCGCCCCTAGTGCAGTCTCCAGGTTACTCATGATTGTGTGAATCTCGGATACTCGATTGCCAACGAACGCCTTGTAGTTGTAGCTCGTCTGGTGAATCCAATGAGGAACGGTGGTAGAATCATCCTAAAAGGTTATCTTCTCTATCTTTGTCATTAACTCTACCGCTAGTGTTTCAGCTAAACGGGCAGCATTAAGAGCTCCCATTACAGGCCATAAGTTCAGTCTACAGACAGACTGTGCCTTAAGAGGCGCAACTCGACCTTTCCCAGCGACTAGTCTGCATTCAACTACATTATCTTCAAACTCTCGTCTAAGGTACGCACACGCTCCGTAAGCATCTCGGCTCGCGTCACAAAACACATGCAGGTTAGTTTCTCGAAATGGCTCGTTCCGTCTGAATAGTGCTTGCGGAATTTGCACAATTTCAAGCAGTTCTGATTCTTTAAACCATTTGCGCCACTCACGAAGATCAGCTTCTTTTAACTCATCATCCCTTCCGTACTTTAAGCGATTCAGATTTTGAAGGATAATCTTGCTTCTGATTGAAAACGGGAGGAGACGTCCTCGAGGATCCCACACAGAGAACGCTTGGCTTAAGATTGATCTCTTTGTAGTAGCTGCTTCTCGTTTAAGTGCATTGAACATAAATACATCTTCTTGAGCATCCCACGTAACGCCCAGTGCACGGTCTGTTGGTAACTGTATTTTCACTCAACTCAAGGAAACGTGCAGATCTATCCTCTACCGGGATAGTTGCTAATACCTCAGGGTCGTTTGTTAACCACTTTTGCAGGTGGAAGCCTCCACGAAGCAGTAATTCCGTCATTTGTTTCCGCATTTCTATGGCTTCTTCTCTTGAGTCGCTGGACGATAGGCCATCTTCCATATAAAAATACCTGTAGACAACTTTGACTTCAAGAGGCAGATCTCCCCCCTTCTCTTCCGCATTCCGCCTCATTGTACAGTTGGCACGAGATGGCGCCGACACTTCTCCAAACAGTGTCCTCTGGAACTGGTAGACCCTCTGTTCTTCGCTCGGTGACTCTCTCCAAAGAAACCTCATGGCTGGCTGATCACTCTCAGGTAATGTGGTACATTTCTCGCACGTCTGCTGCTAATGCAATTCTTCCTTCGCAAAATCTAGGCAAAACACCAAACAACGACGGCAAGCAATCTGGTCCCGTGTACATTTTATCATTAAGACTTTGACCCCTGAATTTCGCTGATGCATCATATACTCTCCTGAGACGATTAGGTTTCTTAGGATTGATAACGAAACGGTGTGGTAAGTACCAGGTCACTTTGCTATCAGTGCATACTTCTTCTTCGCTTATTAGTTTTCTCACATAACGCTTCTCAATGTCATCCTGGATTGACTTTGCATATCGTTCCTTAATTTCGGGATCATTTTCAAACTTAACTTCTTCTCTAACGATTCAAGTCTCCACACAGCCATGTCATAGCTATTAGGAAGCGATGGGTCTTCTTCACACCAAAGCAGCCCCGACACATAAGCGTCTTCACCCTCCAATTTCTTAGTCGTCTGCTCCATTACTGCCAACGATGATAAGATAAGCTTCGAAAATTGTACCTGAATGGAACGCTCCTCTAGAAATTTGTAGCCGTATTCAAGCTAAAGAATGTTCTAGGCAATATTTGCATCTCCGAACTGATATTTTACAGAAACAGTCGTTGGGTGCCCCTGAATAACACTATACGCCTTTNCAGGGTCGTTTGTTAACCACTTTTGCAGGTGGAAGCCTCCACGAAGCAGTAATTCCGTCATTTGTTTCCGCATTTCTATGGCTTCTTCTCTTGAGTCGCTGGACGATAGGCCATCTTCCATATAAAAATACCTGTAGACAACTTTGACTTCAAGAGGCAGATCTCCCCCCTTCTCTTCCGCATTCCGCCTCATTGTACAGTTGGCACGAGATGGCGCCGACACTTCTCCAAACAGTGTCCTCTGGAACTGGTAGACCCTCTGTTCTTCGCTCGGTGACTCTCTCCAAAGAAACCTCATGGCTGGCTGATCACTCTCAGGTAATGTGGTACATTTCTCGCACGTCTGCTGCTAATGCAATTCTTCCTTCGCAAAATCTAGGCAAAACACCAAACAACGACGGCAAGCAATCTGGTCCCGTGTACATTTTATCATTAAGACTTTGACCCCTGAATTTCGCTGATGCATCATATACTCTCCTGAGACGATTAGGTTTCTTAGGATTGATAACGAAACGGTGTGGTAAGTACCAGGTCACTTTGCTATCAGTGCATACTTCTTCTTCGCTTATTAGTTTTCTCACATAACGCTTCTCAATGTCATCCTGGATTGACTTTGCATATCGTTCCTTAATTTCGGGATCATTTTCAAACTTAACTTCTTCTCTAACGATTCAAGTCTCCACACAGCCATGTCATAGCTATTAGGAAGCGATGGGTCTTCTTCACACCAAAGCAGCCCCGACACATAAGCGTCTTCACCCTCCAATTTCTTAGTCGTCTGCTCCATTACTGCCAACGATGATAAGATAAGCTTCGAAAATTGTACCTGAATGGAACGCTCCTCTAGAAATTTGTAGCCGTATTCAAGCTAAAGAATGTTCTAGGCAATATTTGCATCTCCGAACTGATATTTTACAGAAACAGTCGTTGGGTGCCCCTGAATAACACTATACGCCTTTGTTTTTCACACTTTCGCTCTCAAAGTCACTCAAAATATCCCGGCTCAGTGGACCAAGTCGACTATCAAAACGCCAACAGGGACTTGTCAGAAATCAGCAGGGGGGAGGGGGTGGGAATTTTAAATTTGGGTTCGGAAATTAGGTGACCCATCCCTGTAGTGGGACTGAAATTTGCTAACCCTCCCCTTGAGCTTGGCCTAAAAGATCATGAACCTCCCCACCTTATATTACAGAATTGAAAGATAAATGTTCCAGGCTCTTTAAGGTGCAGTATTCCAAGCCAACAAGAAAAAAAGGAAACAAAAACAAAGTAAAAGGAAAGCCAAAAAAGCTAGGGCAAAAAGAATGGAAGCTGACTGCAAACGAGTTATTGAAACCATCGCACCTAAGCAAGAGTCACATGACGTTACAGAGCCTATTGGCCCATTATCTATTCATTATGAAGGACTAAGTGGTCTCCTCAAAACCCAATATATCCCATATGCCTTTGAGAAGGGATTGTTCACCAATGAATCACAGGACATTATCAAGCAATATCTACGCTTCAACCTGAATGAAAATCATGATGATGATGAGAGTGATTGTATCAATGAGAGGCTAATCAAATTAAATAAACAAAATAAAATGCTGATGACATAAATGATGCTGATCAAGATGCTCACAGCAGCATTGATGGTGATGCTGAAGACAGTCATGAAAAGCAAAAACTTCTAATAACATTAATAACAACATTATTCATAATTGCAATAAGACTCTATAGCATTGTTATAAATGAAAAGTAGATGTTTGTTAAATTCTTGCAATAGTACTTCACAGTTTATATCCATATTGTTCCGTTTTTGTTTTTTTTTCTTTTTTTCACCAAATAAAGAACTTCATTTTTCTTCCGTGGGTGAACCTCTACATTATCACGGGCGTATATTTGCATGACCCTCTCCCTGTTAACGGCCCATTTTTTATGACCCCTCCCTTTTCTGAGTCTCAAAAAGTTGTGACCCTCCCTCTTTTTCCACCCCCCCCCCCTCCCCCTGCTAATTTCTGACAAGTCCCTTAAATAAGTCAACGCAAGACTCAAAAACACATGTTCGTGTCTCCTTGTCAGGTGCTCATGTCAATCACAAAAAATAAAACCCGGAAGAGGAGGCACAGTCATCTTTTAAACTGAGGCGATCCTTCATCTTTTAGAAATGATGTCGAGAAAGATAGTCAAAGAACAGTCTTTTATTTTTAGTCTTTTTTATTTCAGCGCCAATCCTTTCTTCGATTAAAACCACATATTACAACAATCAAAAGTATCTTAGTTGTCTTTAAGGGCCACTTCTGCCTTTTTGACTGCGGTTTGAAGGCAGTTTCTCAGCGAATTACCGCGATTATTGGACCAAGATGTATCCCATGGCTTTTATGTGCCGGTTGCCATTATCTGCTTCATAAGTAGCTTCATTGCCACACGTGTTGGAATCATCATAATACCCTCCAGTGCCAAACCCGATTCTGGAGTCGCAGCTTTCACAGTCATCTTCATTGTTAGCAACGATACCAATTCTCGCTTTGGAGGGGCTGCTGCCGTGACATAGAACGTTGAATCCTTCCTTGTTACATTTGGTTTGCAAAGAGGCCTGAGACCAAATGAGTTTCTTCCACGTGTTACGGCCCAGTGAAGTATTTCGGTATATGTTATCTGCGATCAGTGAATACAGGGATCTGGCTTGATAGTTGATGACAACAGACTTGAACTGCTGATCGACCTTCATTCCAAGACAGATCTTGTTAAACGGTGTGTTCCAATAAGTCGGTAACTTGGTCTCGTGAGTGTCCAACCCAGTCTCCCCTCCTGTAAGATTAAAGTCGACTTTGTTCCTCCAGAGACTGGAATTGTAGTAAAACGTTTTCTGGGTGCATTTGGAACAAAAAGTAGTTGATCAGTTTGCTGTTATACATGTTTGGGCACTGAAATATGGTCGGAAAGCTAGGTCGAGTCGTTTTAATTGGTCTGTCTCACTGGAGAGTTTAAGCAAAGATGAGCGACGTTCAGGGGCACCCAACAAAAATTTTCGGAAAATATCTGTTCGGATGACGATTTGCAATCTAGAATTTCTGAACATTTGTTGTAAAATTTGCTTGCCTGCCTCTCCTAGGATTTTTGAACATCTAAAAAATGGTATAATTGCCCATTTTAACGGATTTTTTCCCTTAAAAGGTCACCTAGAATTTTCGGGAGCCTTTTTTCTATCTGAAATTTTCGAAAAGGTAAGTTTTGATCCCTATAATTTTCGGATCACTAGACTTTCAGCTAGGAAATCCGAACAGATGAAAAATTTCTAGGTGATAAAAATATGCCTATTTCTACCGTTTAAATACTAAAATACGTTTAACAATACTATGTCTAAGTGGTTTGAACTATCTTCTCGTTGGGTGCTCCTGACGTTTTGCATTCTTGGGCGGTAGTTTTGCCGAAATTTTCGGGCAAACCGTCTCTGTTTGAGTCAACACACTAAGCAATAAAAATTTGGTAGCGTTAAGGCATAATAAAAGGGAAAAGGTATCATTTCCAGTTGACGTGTGTCCCTCAAGAACGCCTTTGCCTTAGCTCACTTGTCTAGTCTATTACTGCTGTCATTTCCTTGTTCATACTTTGTCTCAAGCTGAATATATATTTCATCTACTAGTCTGCATTTTGATCTAGCATTAAAAGTTTATCTTAACAGGTGGAGTAAGCTTGTTGACGAGCGACCACGTAGTTAATCAGCTTTTGAACATTTAACTTTTAATACCTTTGAGCCATTGATCTTCATGACCAGCGTCCATCCACCTCCTCCGCATGTATCAAGACCATGCTCGCTCATGTGACAGTATACGGGAACCTTGGTAGACCCAACATCCAGCAAATACGCTGTGTTTTCTTTGGCCCTGAACAAACAAGCCACCAAAATGGCTAAGTTCATTCAGAATGACATAGCTATTTTTCTCCTTTTTGTTAGAGCACACTAGTTTCTTAAGAAATCTGGCGAATTTAGAATTATGCGTGGTTTTCTTTGTTATGGGTATGGGAATATGTTTTGGAGTCGGGTCGGGATCGCCGCAGTTGAGCTGAAGAATCTGCAACGACGTTGCAAAATGTTCTGCAAAAAGGCTAGGAATGCGCGATATATATATAACCCTATAAATAAAGAAGTGCGTCTGGTTTGTATCACATATTTTGTTTTTATGTAACAGTTACGTTATTGGGTAAGGTTTTTTAGAATACTAAGTAGGTAGAACTCCTTTATTCACAAAAAAATTATGTACGAAGGAGATTAATTGAACGGGTCGTTAGAAGTGAAGGGATGACATTTGAAACTTGCATGCTTATGTCGCGCACACATTTGACACTATGGGAGACAATCGACTTTCTTCACTGATTGCCTTTTACAATCTTATGAAAACGGTTTTATTCGCAGTGATTCTGTAATATGTTCAGGGTCTAATCTAAACATCAGAAACTCCAATTTTTATATATAGTTCAGAGATTTAGTACATTTCGCTGACTCCAAAAAAGGCTGTAATTGTCTTGACCACAGTGCCGAACACTCCTGAATAAACTCATTCAGTTTCTTTCCTTCTTTTTTATTTTGTTGTTTTATTTTCGACCTCCGGTGTTGAACACGAGTATGGCTTAAGTATTTGGTTTACTGCTATTTTCTTACTGACTTTATAGCAATTTCCATTTTTTGTTCTGAATCCAGATAATCTTCTCAACGTTGACCTCCCCGATTTTCCTGTATTTAACTTGCCAATTAGTGGAGAAAATTAAGAAGAAATTTTAGCAATTTTATTTTGGAACCCTCAGAGATTTAAAAAATATATATTTTAGAATTTGGTTTAGTGTCTTTTTATCAAGTTATTTTCTATCGCTTGTACTTACAAAGTCCTGTCATAAACATAAATGTCCTTGCACGTTGAAGCTGTAAGAAGTAAGATAACGATATTAGCTACACTGAGTGTATGTTGAAAAAAAAAGTGATTTATTAAACAAGGTGAATCTTTTTAAATAGACGTTTCGACAGCATCAACATCGTTGTCTTTGCCAAATGGTGACTACTTTAGGTCACATGAACACTGATCATGTGACCAACATGTTCATGTGGCCATTTTGTATTAACTGTTGTACTAATTAGGACGTAAAGGCAAAATGTCCATTCCGATGAACAGGAAAACGGGATAACACGGCCTCGGTCTCGGTTTTCGACGCCATCTTGACACAAGAGTCGGCAAACGCGTGAGAAATTACAGCGTTTGTATGAGAATGTAATGTCGAATAATTTCCTTAGAACGGCTGTTCTGAAAAAAATATGATTTGTAAACTAAAGCTTCACTCCTAAGGATTCTACTGAAAAATATTGAGGGCGTTACATGCACTAGAAGACCTAGAACCACTTTTAAAAATTTTGTATACAATTGTCTGTAAGAAAGTCACGGGAAAATTATAGACAAATATATGGAAAATCTCAAGCAAGCCTCTGGAGAAATTTAAGCCCAGGTAAGCCTACCAAATTTTTTAAGACAATCCTTTGCTTTGTAGCCTTAGTTTACAATTGACATTTGTTTTAGAACAGCCGTTTACGGAAATTATTCGACATTAGATTCTCATACAAACACTGTAATTTCTCACACGTTAGCCTACTCGTCAAGATGGCGTCGAAAACCGCGACAAGGTCTATTATACGTTATCTTGGCCTGAACTTCATTTTTTTAAAATTATTTGTTAGCGAGGGTCCTATCGGCACTTATAATTTCCATAGGAGCTGTCTAACTTCCAACTTTACTGCAGCCATTACAACATCATTTACCTGTACAGGTCCATCCATCTCCCGTATATCCAGGCTTACAAGAGCAGTTGTAGGATCCTTTGGTGTTATTACAAAACGCATTAGAACTGCAGTTGTGAGTTCCCGCATTACACTCATTGATGTCTGAAATCATATTAAACAATGGCAAGCTTAGTTTGCAGTATGAAAAGAAATACATTAGGAAAAAAAAGCAAAGTTTCTGATGCCGGCCATTGACGTTCTTTTTCTTCTTCTTCTTCTTCTTCTTCTTCTTCTTCTTCTTCTTCTTCTTCTTCTTCTTCTTCTTCTTCTTCTTCTTCTTCTTCCATGAAATCTCTCCTCCTTTAAAAATGAAGATTCTTGTGGGGGGAGGTCGACAAAACATTGAAAATACAAGGTACACTGTACCAAGCGTTATAAAACATTCCGCTTAAAATTTTGACTGAGGTAATATGGTCAACTATCTGACAAGTACTTGCTATAAAGATCATTTTACTACGGAAAAATAAAAACAGCAATGCTTTCGAAGGCATACAAAATGACCAAGTTAAGAAAGAAATTACCTGTGCAATTATTTCCGTCCCCTTCATATCCTGGTTTACATGTGCAGTTGTAGGATCCTTTGGTGTTATTACAAACCGCATTAGAACTGCAATTGTGGGTTCCTTCTTTGCACTCATTGATGTCTGAAATTATATTGATCAATAATAGAAACAAATTTATTTCGCATTTGACGTGTTTTAGACTTTCCCCAGTTAATATATATCTACAGTGAAATCAAGAAAAGAGGTTGCTGGAAGATAGTAACAGTATAAGTGGCAAGCGAAAACATTGGTGTCGAAACCAAAGCAAAAATATAGCCTGTTTCTCCGTCTGTTAAGACATTGACCTATTGTTTAATTTGCTTTTTTGGTTTTTGTTTTTTGTTTTTCACCTTCACTTATGAACTTAATTAGTTATGAGAAAATTAAGACTTTTGACATCTTCAGCAAACGATTATGGTTGGACCCACAGTTTCGATATTTGACACTCTTGTTCTTGTCATCACAACTTATGTTCCGTCGAAATTTATTAAGTTAAAACTGAATTTAGCCCTTAGCTGTGTTCACGGTGAGTTATCAAAAAATATCTACAACCCGATTTCATCGGTTCCCATTAGACTTAGAAGCTCGAGCCCGGGGGTTGGGGGACTCCCATATGAATGTGACGTAGATGCTCTTCGCTTCCCCTTAGGGTAAAACGTACCAATTTTGGTCACACTTGAGGTATGCAGGGTAGGAATTCAATGTTTAACCCATTAAGGTATCGCTGAGGGCTAGAGAGGATGAGTTTGGGTTTTTTCCTAAAGAGATCTCTCTTTCTCTCTCTCTATATATAAAAAACAAATGCCGTCATATTTTCTTGATAAGAACAAAAGGCCACGCCCCGGTTAGTTTCCTAAAATACTAATTTCTGACTAGCATTTTTTATGGAAGTCTTCCCGCCCCTCGCGAGTTCAATCAAATGAACTTCCTTGCAAAGACCATAGAGGTATTGCCGGTTTTCAGTGTCACGCCGTTCAAAACAGATCAAAATAAGAATCAAAACCGTCTAATAGATAAAGTATAGAATCTGGGAAATAAACGAAGATAAGTATGCAAAGACCCTCACCAAGATTCAGGTCAGAGGAATATTTCGTATACGAGATATCCGACGAAATGTGTTACCCAAATTTATAGAGATTTGCAGTGGCAGATCCAGGGGAGGGGCCCGGCCCCCCCTCCCTTATTTTTAGACCAAGCTGAGGACCTCAGGGCCGAAGAAATTTTTGTTTCGAAACCGGGCCCCCACTTATCTAAGGATCTGGATGAAAAGAAAAAAGAAAGTAACTTTCAAGAACAACTTACCATTCTCACAGTGTTCACCAGTGAAACCAGAAGGACATAAACACCGATATTTTTTCTCTGTGAGTCCAGACTGACAGGTACCGTTGTTATGGCAACGGGGATTATTACAAGCACTCTTTAAAAAGAACAAAAATCAGGTCTGATTTGTAACAGAAGTTACGCCAAACCTTCATGATCGAGCGTCAACTATAAACTACAAGATGAAGATGACGATAATGATGAGGATGATAGTAATTATCACGAAGATGATGATGATAATAGGGAGCTTAAACAACGATGACGTCGAAGACAACGAAAACGTCGAAAAAGCAAATAGGTTTAGTTTACCAAATTAAAAAAAAAACTTTGCTTGTGGATTAAGCTTAATTGTATATTTCGTTCGTGTCGTCTCATGACCTGCCTAATTTCACGTTTCTGGACAACGATTTCTGATTCTTTTCTTTTTTTTTTTTAACTTAACACCCGAACTGATTCACCAACATTTGACAAATCGCGACATGGAAAATAAGCTATGAATTTTGAAACAGCCTGAGTTAACTTTTTTAAGAGACGTTCACTCCTAATGACGAAGACGCCATCTCCTGTGATAATGATGACTATGATGAGATAATGATCCATGGTCTTGAAGATGATGAAAACAGATCATAAAAGAAAAAAAGACAAGAAAAGAGAAGACAAAAAACTTACAGTTGCTCCATGATATAAGCAGCCTTCCCTCTCTTTAAAGTCTGCATCGTGCGCTAGGTGTGTTGAATTGTTCAGTTCACATCGTTTTTTTGTTTGTATCTCGTAATTCACACTGACGCAGTTTGGTTCGTTGTAACAAAGCAGTTTACAAAGACTGATATCTTGGACATGTTGGACAATTAAGATCGTGTGGCTCTCCAAACACTTGTCAGCAATTAGGAAATAACTCGGAAACGCCAGTACGCGGCAATTATCTGAATTAAAAAAGGAAAAATTTCATTTAGCAATTCTGACTTTTTTTGGGCGACAAAAAGAGCTTCGATAAATATAAAGCAACTGTCCTTTGTAAACAAGATTGAAGTTCATGGAACGTAAAAACTTATATTTTAGTTTACACTCCGGCTCTTTCAGCCACGTTTTATCTGAAATTTGATGAAACTTCTATTTATATTAATTAAACTTGCTGGGTTTTTGGAATCGCTGATGATCTTCCTGGAAGAGTATATTTTATTCTTCAAACTGGCTTATTAAAACAGCAAAGTATATCAAAAAATGACAACAAGGAGATGGATATAATTGTTAGCTCTCTAGACCCAATATTTTTCTGTCAATTGGTCGAGCTCTATAAAAGACGTAAAGGCAAAATGTCCATTCCGATGAACAGGAAAACGGGATAACACGGCCTCGGTCTCGGTTTTCGACGCCATCTTGACACAAGAGTCGGCAAACGCGTGAGAAATTACAGCGTTTGTATGAGAATGTAATGTCGAATAATTTCCTTAGAACGGCTGTTCTGAAAAAAATATGATTTGTAAACTAAAGCTTCACTCCTAAGGATTCTACTGAAAAATATTGAGGGCGTTACATGCACTAGAAGACCTAGAACCACTTTTAAAAATTTTGTATACAATTGTCTGTAAGAAAGTCACGGGAAAATTATAGACAAATATATGGAAAATCTCAAGCAAGCCTCTGGAGAAATTTAAGCCCAGGTAAGCCTACCAAATTTTTTAAGACAATCCTTTGCTTTGTAGCCTTAGTTTACAATTGACATTTGTTTTAGAACAGCCGTTTACGGAAATTATTCGACATTAGATTCTCATACAAACACTGTAATTTCTCACACGTTAGCCTACTCGTCAAGATGGCGTCGAAAACCGCGACAAGGTCTATTATACGTTATCTTGGCCTGAACTTCATTTTTTTAAAATTATTTGTTAGCGAGGGTCCTATCGGCACTTATAATTTCCATAGGAGCTGTCTAACTTCCAACTTTACTGCAGCCATTACAACATCATTTACCTGTACAGGTCCATCCATCTCCCGTATATCCAGGCTTACAAGAGCAGTTGTAGGATCCTTTGGTGTTATTACAAAACGCATTAGAACTGCAGTTGTGAGTTCCCGCATTACACTCATTGATGTCTGAAATCATATTAAACAATGGCAAGCTTAGTTTGCAGTATGAAAAGAAATACATTAGGAAAAAAAAGCAAAGTTTCTGATGCCGGCCATTGACGTTCTTTTTCTTCTTCTTCTTCTTCTTCTTCTTCTTCTTCTTCTTCTTCTTCTTCTTCTTCTTCTTCTTCTTCTTCTTCTTCTTCTTCCATGAAATCTCTCCTCCTTTAAAAATGAAGATTCTTGTGGGGGGAGGTCGACAAAACATTGAAAATACAAGGTACACTGTACCAAGCGTTATAAAACATTCCGCTTAAAATTTTGACTGAGGTAATATGGTCAACTATCTGACAAGTACTTGCTATAAAGATCATTTTACTACGGAAAAATAAAAACAGCAATGCTTTCGAAGGCATACAAAATGACCAAGTTAAGAAAGAAATTACCTGTGCAATTATTTCCGTCCCCTTCATATCCTGGTTTACATGTGCAGTTGTAGGATCCTTTGGTGTTATTACAAACCGCATTAGAACTGCAATTGTGGGTTCCTTCTTTGCACTCATTGATGTCTGAAATTATATTGATCAATAATAGAAACAAATTTATTTCGCATTTGACGTGTTTTAGACTTTCCCCAGTTAATATATATCTACAGTGAAATCAAGAAAAGAGGTTGCTGGAAGATAGTAACAGTATAAGTGGCAAGCGAAAACATTGGTGTCGAAACCAAAGCAAAAATATAGCCTGTTTCTCCGTCTGTTAAGACATTGACCTATTGTTTAATTTGCTTTTTTGGTTTTTGTTTTTTGTTTTTCACCTTCACTTATGAACTTAATTAGTTATGAGAAAATTAAGACTTTTGACATCTTCAGCAAACGATTATGGTTGGACCCACAGTTTCGATATTTGACACTCTTGTTCTTGTCATCACAACTTATGTTCCGTCGAAATTTATTAAGTTAAAACTGAATTTAGCCCTTAGCTGTGTTCACGGTGAGTTATCAAAAAATATCTACAACCCGATTTCATCGGTTCCCATTAGACTTAGAAGCTCGAGCCCGGGGGTTGGGGGACTCCCATATGAATGTGACGTAGATGCTCTTCGCTTCCCCTTAGGGTAAAACGTACCAATTTTGGTCACACTTGAGGTATGCAGGGTAGGAATTCAATGTTTAACCCATTAAGGTATCGCTGAGGGCTAGAGAGGATGAGTTTGGGTTTTTTCCTAAAGAGATCTCTCTTTCTCTCTCTCTATATATAAAAAACAAATGCCGTCATATTTTCTTGATAAGAACAAAAGGCCACGCCCCGGTTAGTTTCCTAAAATACTAATTTCTGACTAGCATTTTTTATGGAAGTCTTCCCGCCCCTCGCGAGTTCAATCAAATGAACTTCCTTGCAAAGACCATAGAGGTATTGCCGGTTTTCAGTATCACGCCGTTCAAAACAGATCAAAATAAGAATCAAAACCGTCTAATAGATAAAGTATAGAATCTGGGAAATAAACGAAGATAAGTATGCAAAGACCCTCACCAAGATTCAGGTCAGAGGAATATTTCGTATACGAGATATCCGACGAAATGTGTTACCCAAATTTATAGAGATTTGCAGTGGCAGATCCAGGGGAGGGGCCCGGCCCCCCCTCCCTTATTTTTAGACCAAGCTGAGGACCTCAGGGCCGAAGAAATTTTTGTTTCGAAACCGGGCCCCCACTTATCTAAGGATCTGGATGAAAAGAAAAAAGAAAGTAACTTTCAAGAACAACTTACCATTCTCACAGTGTTCACCAGTGAAACCAGAAGGACATAAACACCGATATTTTTTCTCTGTGAGTCCAGACTGACAGGTACCGTTGTTATGGCAACGGGGATTATTACAAGCACTCTTTAAAAAGAACAAAAATCAGGTCTGATTTGTAACAGAAGTTACGCCAAACCTTCATGATCGAGCGTCAACTATAAACTACAAGATGAAGATGACGATAATGATGAGGATGATAGTAATTATCACGAAGATGATGATGATAATAGGGAGCTTAAACAACGATGACGTCGAAGACAACGAAAACGTCGAAAAAGCAAATAGGTTTAGTTTACCAAATTAAAAAAAAAACTTTGCTTGTGGATTAAGCTTAATTGTATATTTCGTTCGTGTCGTCTCATGACCTGCCTAATTTCACGTTTCTGGACAACGATTTCTGATTCTTTTCTTTTTTTTTTTTAACTTAACACCCGAACTGATTCACCAACATTTGACAAATCGCGACATGGAAAATAAGCTATGAATTTTGAAACAGCCTGAGTTAACTTTTTTAAGAGACGTTCACTCCTAATGACGAAGACGCCATCTCCTGTGATAATGATGACTATGATGAGATAATGATCCATGGTCTTGAAGATGATGAAAACAGATCATAAAAGAAAAAAAGACAAGAAAAGAGAAGACAAAAAACTTACAGTTGCTCCATGATATAAGCAGCCTTCCCTCTCTTTAAAGTCTGCATCGTGCGCTAGGTGTGTTGAATTGTTCAGTTCACATCGTTTTTTTGTTTGTATCTCGTAATTCACACTGACGCAGTTTGGTTCGTTGTAACAAAGCAGTTTACAAAGACTGATATCTTGGACATGTTGGACAATTAAGATCGTGTGGCTCTCCAAACACTTGTCAGCAATTAGGAAATAACTCGGAAACGCCAGTACGCGGCAATTATCTGAATTAAAAAAGGAAAAATTTCATTTAGCAATTCTGACTTTTTTTGGGCGACAAAAAGAGCTTCGATAAATATAAAGCAACTGTCCTTTGTAAACAAGATTGAAGTTCATGGAACGTAAAAACTTATATTTTAGTTTACACTCCGGCTCTTTCAGCCACGTTTTATCTGAAATTTGATGAAACTTCTATTTATATTAATTAAACTTGCTGGGTTTTTGGAATCGCTGATGATCTTCCTGGAAGAGTATATTTTATTCTTCAAACTGGCTTATTAAAACAGCAAAGTATATCAAAAAATGACAACAAGGAGATGGATATAATTGTTAGCTCTCTAGACCCAATATTTTTCTGTCAATTGGTCGAGCTCTATAAAGAAAACCCCATTTTTAAGGAAAAAAGACGATGACTCGTTTTAAAGTTTGTAAAAGCCAGATGAAAAGGCTGAAAACAAGAAAACAGGAAGATGATATGCCCATGGCCACCTGTCTTGAAAAGTGGTAACCTGTCGTGTTTATTGTGAAAATATTTTTCCCTTATCACGCAAATAACAGAATTCTTTGTTTCTTAGAAACTTTCTCCTTGTGAACAGTTTATGATGTGAGGGTTAATCCGCAGTGACAACATCGAAACTCAATTTTATATTAATTTTGTTAAAAATTTTCTCACACTTGTCTCCTGTTATTTAACTTTTAAATAGGTTTCCATGTTGTTCGTTGAGTCCGCTGGCAACTGCATAATTCACTGTATGCAAATGAGTGTTGTGATGAGCATGCGATTTATTTTCGGCGATGATTGAAATGACGTGCATGTAAATCACTTTTTCGATATCTGGCATGTAATTTCTCTGGAATCGAGGCCCTTGAATTTTCGTGTGTTTATGCGCGCGTATAGCCTGCTACCGGAGAGGTATTTTTGGTTGTCGCTAACACGCGTACTAAATCAATTCAGAAACAAATAAAAAGTATCGACGTCGATAAAGTAGGAAGTAAAAAACCTTTAGCGAGTAAATCATGTTTCTTGCAGAATTAATCGCCTCCTCATTTCTCGATCTAATCTCCTTTCAGGCGAGACTTGAATGCCCCTGTAAGCGCGTTCTTGTTTCCTCTAATTCAACATTCATTAGGTTGCCATGTTAATTAGTCAGTCTGTTTAGAAGCTGCATGATTGAATGAATAAACAAATCCTTGCATTAAATAGAATAAAACATAAAATAGATTTTCTGAATTCAAAGGAAAACTTCTATAACGCTAATCAACACTGACTCACGCCCAAAGAGGACAAAATAAATAACATTTATTTAGCCTTAACCGTCTACGAGTACATTTATATTTTTTCTGAAAAAAGGCCAACATTCAGTGAACGTCTTAAACATATATATTAAATGGACCACAAAGGAAACAAGGACAGTTGAGTAGAATAAAATTCGCGTTAATACGATGACCGTTGGGCTTTAAAAATATGGTCGTATTAATCAACGTTGTACAACCCATATAGCTCCATAAAAGTAAGTGGTCATGTTGAACGAGGTTTTCGAATAAGGAAATGGCAGGACATTTTCGAGCTAGAAAAGGATTCGTCAACTTAACTAAAGAGGGGTACAACTAGGGTCGCATTAACGTAGAGTGTTAACATGGTAGGGGGTCCAAAGTAAAAATAAAGATAATAAGAACAGACAATAAGGAGCCTTGGCCTGCGGAAGGGAAGTGACAAGTCGAACTAACAAGAAACGAAAAGAAATAAGAGGGAAAGAGGGACTCAAAGCTCCTAGCACACCGACATTGTTACCAGCTTTTTTTTCTCACTAATAATAGCTAGAGTCTCTTTTCTTTTCTTCAACTGTAGATTCTTGTAGAGCAATCATTTTGCCAGCGACCAGACGTAACAGGCTAAATAAACAAAGAAAGCCTACAAAGATGGGTTTATCGCTAGAAAATGTAAAAAGACGTTAACAGTGTAAAAAGCTGGTCCCCAACCGAAATTTGTCATTTATGGAGTTTTGAAAACGCTTGTTTAGAACTTTTTGCGTTTTCTCCCCTCCGGGAACGACGATCCTCGGAGTCCTACGAGCCTTAAAAAATTTTGCAACCACGAAAACTAATTCTGCGGAACTTCTGGCATGTGAAGTGACTTTTTTGCATATGTCTGTTAACTGTAAAGAAGAGAAATTAACCGTAAGCCGTAAAAAAGTCATATTCATGGGCAGTATATTAGAGCAGAAAATTTAGCAGCTACTCTTTGTTCCAATTTTTATAGTCGGTCTAGCTAATTTTAATTTTTTTTTTTATCTTCTTTCAGGTCATAAATGTGTTTGTCACTATTTTGACGCTCAGTTTTTGGAACTATAGCGAGCCAAATATGATTGAAACCACAAGGCGGAAAAAGAAGAACTTACCATCCAAACAACCGAAGCAAATTCTTAAAGAATGTATGTACAGCATAAAGAAAATACTGTAGTGAAGAACAACACCCATGATCGCTGCCTTGTTCGCGGATCGCAAGTCTACTGAAAAGTCGAGTGTATTGAGTGCGGTTAAGCTACAACGGGGGTGTAATTTATACTATACCGGTAAACAGTTCCATACCACCCGTCGCATTTTGACATTAACGTCAAAACTTAAATTAGGGTCCATTAAAATTTTTAACTGCTCGCGAAATTTTACTTGCTCGATTTCCTCCAAAATTAAAACGAGCGCTCACTTGCTGGTGCTCCCAAAGTTTTTGCAGTTGCTCACATTGCTCGCTTTCTTGTCAGTATTGCTCGAAATTTTGTAAATCCTTCTTTGGGTTAAAGTAAATGTAATTCTGTATGGTGCTTAATTCCTATAAATATGGCTATCAAGTTCATGCGAATGCACGCGATAATTGACAACGATAAATAATAAATTAGCTAATCTAGCTAGATATGATGGTTAAAAAGAGAAGATATTGTTACCTTGAGTTCTTCTGAGTTTCTCGACCGCTCTACTCACTGGGCTTTAATTAGGCAGTGTTTTCAATAAAAACGGTTTGGAAGCTTTAGGATTCTTCCAAAAGAGGTTGTTCTGACACGAGGATCTTGTTTCTCTTCAAGTTCTTCTTCATCCACATCAGTCATGTCCCTTTCTTCAACGCCTGCTTTTCAGTCGCTACATAACAGATTGGAATAGTATTCCATCAGAAAGCCATAAGGGGTTTATTCAACCCCTTATGAGTTTCTGATTCCATCGAACATTATGCACGCACGCCATTTTAGTTTTTACAACGAAAACAACTAAATCTCGTCCCCAGGTCGTCTCGGTTAACGATGCATTAACCTGTAAAAGGCTGCATTTTTGACGTCATTTACTCGTTTCCTCCCTTACAAAATTCTTCCAAATTTGGTCATCAGTAACTAGTTATNACGGGGGTGTAATTTATACTATACCGGTAAACAGTTCCATACCACCCGTCGCATTTTGACATTAACGTCAAAACTTAAATTAGGGTCCATTAAAATTTTTAACTGCTCGCGAAATTTTACTTGCTCGATTTCCTCCAAAATTAAAACGAGCGCTCACTTGCTGGTGCTCCCAAAGTTTTTGCAGTTGCTCACATTGCTCGCTTTCTTGTCAGTATTGCTCGAAATTTTGTAAATCCTTCTTTGGGTTAAAGTAAATGTAATTCTGTATGGTGCTTAATTCCTATAAATATGGCTATCAAGTTCATGCGAATGCACGCGATAATTGACAACGATAAATAATAAATTAGCTAATCTAGCTAGATATGATGGTTAAAAAGAGAAGATATTGTTACCTTGAGTTCTTCTGAGTTTCTCGACCGCTCTACTCACTGGGCTTTAATTAGGCAGTGTTTTCAATAAAAACGGTTTGGAAGCTTTAGGATTCTTCCAAAAGAGGTTGTTCTGACACGAGGATCTTGTTTCTCTTCAAGTTCTTCTTCATCCACATCAGTCATGTCCCTTTCTTCAACGCCTGCTTTTCAGTCGCTACATAACAGATTGGAATAGTATTCCATCAGAAAGCCATAAGGGGTTTATTCAACCCCTTATGAGTTTCTGATTCCATCGAACATTATGCACGCACGCCATTTTAGTTTTTACAACGAAAACAACTAAATCTCGTCCCCAGGTCGTCTCGGTTAACGATGCATTAACCTGTAAAAGGCTGCATTTTTGACGTCATTTACTCGTTTCCTCCCTTACAAAATTCTTCCAAATTTGGTCATCAGTAACTAGTTATCATTATGGTGAATTATGCGTGTGCTTTTAGCCAAGATCAGAATTGGGGATATATTTTGAATGAATAATAATATGTATCAATCCATTAAGTCCCAAGAGTGACCAACATCAATTTTCTCCCAACAACATCAACACACAATTAAGAGAAAAGGTTATGAGGACAATTAAAATGATCACCAAAAGGAAAATGCTTTGATCTTTTATTATCAAATTCTTTCAACTTATTCTTGAAGGAAATCTATAGAGGTCAGTTTGGAGAATTTGTAAGTGGATATTGAGACTTTGTAAGTGGATACTGGTCATTAATCCTTTTTAAAGGATTAATGACCAGTATCCAAGATCAAGATCAAGATCAAGAAATAAACCATTATGGGTATACCTTCTCATCTCTGCTCTGTGTAAGTTTTAATTACCATTTCGTTGTATGAATTTTTAATGATAACAATAATAATAATATTGATTTTCTTAATAGTAGTTTGAACAGTTCAATAACCACACGTACCTTGGTTATTAAAATGCAGTCAATAAAGGACAGTACCCATTTTGAAATAAACCAAATATTTAAGCATCTGGTGGTTGACCAGTGTGGTACGTTCTGTTACAGGATACAAACTTAAGTGGCCCGATATTTGTTCAAAGTGTTCAAAGGCCCTTACGCAAAAACAAAGTTTCCAACTTTTAAATGTGGGTGCACCTCTCTTCATCCAACCAGTGCATCCAACCAACATGCATTATTTAACTGCAAACTATAAAATCGCCCAACAGCGGCTTTAGTGGCATGCTGATAAAATCATTTTGTTTTCTACCACGAGATGAATGTTATCGTAGCCAATTTAAGGTAATAGCTAGCCAAGCTTACCGCAGCTTAACCCCATGCAGTCTCCACATGGTTCAGTTAATCTCCTGGATCCACATCGTGAGCTCCTTTGTACGATAGTCTGGAATACAGCCCCAAATTTTTCCAAACGTTTTAAATTTTATAGCTCGCATTACTGTTTGTGGCCCCTTTTTTTGTATTACAACACTGGCAAAGATTATTTTTGTAACATGATTAGATCAACATTAGAACACAACTTAGGGGCTGGGTTTTAAGGGAGGTCTGGTGGATTAACAATACTTGATAGGGCTGGGGACTGGAAAAGAGAAAGACCTTCCAATCATTATCTCTAGCTTGGCTTAGTCAAACTCCATACCTTTAACTATGAAAAACTATGATTATGATATTTGACTGTACTGTAAATATTGCTAAAACAAAAGCTTTGAATGTTATTATGCACGGATGCTTTTGTAAAGCTGTTGCAATGTACATTGTATGGCATTGAATTGCTTTGTTTTGCAATGCATTCTATTGTAGAGAACTTTAAGTCACAGAATACGGCACAGTAGAGTCTGTCCCCCCCCCC